TCTCTCCTCCTCCTCAGCCATCAGCAATCAGCATCAGCATCATCATCATCATCATCATCATCTCATCATCATCATCATCATCATCATCATCATCATATCATCATCATCATCATCATCAGCATCATCAGCATCATCATCATCATCATCAGCATCATCAGCATCAGCATCATCATCTCATCATCATTCATCATCGCATCATCACATCATCAGCATCAATCATCATCATCATCATCATCATCGTCATCGTCATCGTCGTCATCATCATCATCATATCAGCATCATCAGCATCAGCAGCAGCATCAGCATCAGCCCCATCAGCATCAGCATCAGCATCAGCATCAGCATCAGCATCAGCATCAGCATCAGCATCAGCATCATCATCATCATCATCATCATCATCATCATCATCATCATCATCATCATCATCATCATCATCATCATCATCATCATCATCATCATCATCATCATCATCATCATCATCATCATCATCATCATCCGCCGACGCCTTGCGGGTCTCTAGGCGTGTGAGATTGCTCCCCCCCATAACCCCCCCCCGGGACCCCAAACCGGCAATTCGACCCCCCCCCCTCGTGGTGGACGACCCTCCGCCGAACTCATCCGAGGCGGTCTGGGCTCCCCGGGCTCGGTTGGGAGCCTCCGACGGCACCCCCAAGATGGCCCAAGAAAGCACAAAGTCGCCGAATGATCGCTTCAAGACGCCCAAGGTGGGCCCCAGGCGGCCTAAGAGGGCGCCACGGCGCTCCAAGAGGCCTCCAATCGGCTGCCGAAGCGGGGCCCCAGAGGCCAAAATCGCGCAATTCCTGCGGGAAACCGTACATTTGTGGCATATACGCCTTTTCGGCCAACACGGCGTTGACAGTGGCCCACGAGGTCGCCAAGACCGCTCCAAGAGGGCCCAAGAGGCTCCCAAGAGGGCCCAGACACGGCCCAAGAAGTCGCCAAGACGGCCTAAGAGGCGCCCAAGACAGCCCAAGAAAACCCCCAGGCGGCCCCAAGAGGGGCCCAAGAATGGGAGCCCGAACCGAAAATCCGAGCCTTCCGCCCCCGGAGGCCCCCAAGAGGGCCCAAGGGAGCGGCCGAAGGCACAAAGAATCCGTCAAGACATCCCAAAAGGCCCCCCAGTACGCCTCTCAGGAAACACTAAGATACCCAAATCGCCGAATTTCTTTTGCTTGACCTCCTTCTTCTCCTCGTCCTCTACCGCATCCTCCTCCTTCTCCTCCTCCTCTCCCTTTCTACCACATCGCCTGGTCAAACAAAGCCCAACACAACGCATGGCGGAATGGGCGGCAGCCTCGGTGCCCACGGCCGGCAGCCACGATGGACAACCCCTGAGGCCTCCCAAGAAGCCTCCAAGACAGTCCAAGAACCCCGACTCGCCGAAAGACCGCTCCAAGACGCCCAAGATGGCACCCAGACAACCCACGATGCCCCTAGGCCGCCCCGCAAAGCCTCCGAGAGAGCTCCCGAGACCCGGCGATAGCCCCTGATGAAAAAAAAGAGTCGGCGGATGTGGCGTAAGCCTATATAATCATCATCAGCATCAGCAACATGATCATCATCATGATCATAACCATCATCACCATCAGTATCATCATCATCAGTATCATCAGCATCATCCTCATCCTCATCCTCATCCTCATCCTCATCCTCACCATCACCATCAGCATCAGCATCAGCATCAGCATCAGCATCAGCATCAGCATCAGCATCATCATCATCATCACCCTCGTCACTCCTCCTCCTTCTCCTCCTCCTCCTCCCTCTCTGGCTCCGCCTCCTCCTCCTCCTCCTCCACTCCTTTTCCTTATAGATAACATCTCTCTGTCGCACCCCGAAGCCAGTTTTTAGGGCGGGCTGGCCGTTTCGCTTGAGACTGCCTCACACTGTATGACTCTGAAGCTAAAAAATCACAACAGATTCACTGGAGGGCGGGTCGTTTTCAACATGTGGATCTCGCCTTAGCGCCGCGCACATTTGTTTTTAAGCGTTTGCAAGAGCTTCACGGACTGAGGATCACCCGTTTTCAAACTGTAACTCTCGCCTTAGCGCCGCGCACATTCGTTTTAGCAACACTTGCAATCATTTCTCGGATTGAAAGCGGATCCTTTTCAAAATGTGGCTCTCGCCTTGGCGCCGCGCACATTCTTTTACACAAGTTGCAACAATTTCACGGATTCCCAGGATCAACGTACCAACAATGGCGTTTTGGAAGGATTCCTGATTTTACAGGTGCAACTGTAAATTACATTGATTCGCAATCTTCAAATCCCAAGAATGGCGTTCTGGCACAATTCAGGGTCGATAAGACACAACAAGCAGGTTGATCCGCGGCGGGTCTTCAAACGGTTGTCTTCCAACGAGGCAGATCCCTAAATGGAAATAAATCGTTGTAGGGGCCTATAAAGAGGGGGCTAGGAGGGAGGGTGTCTTCCAACATCGTTGATGGCTCTTCGGTTTACACTGGTCCTCCTACTCCTCCCTCTCCTCCTCCTCCTCCTCCTCCTCCTCTTCTTTTTCTTCTTCTTCTTCTTCTTATTCTTCTTATTATTATTCACATTAGTATTAGTATTATTATTACTGATATTATTATCATTAGTACTCTTAGTATTAGTATTATGATTCTTATTCGTCTTCTTCTTCTTCTTCCTCCTCCTCCACCTCCTCCTTCTCCTCCTCCTCCTGCTCCTGCTCCTGCCCCTGCCCCTGCCCCTGCCCTGCCCCTGCCCCTGCCCCTGCCCTTGCCCCTGCCCCTGCCCCTGCCCCTGCTCCTCCTCCTCCTCCTCCGCCGCCGCCGCCGCCGCCTCCTCCTCCTCCTCCTCCGCCTCCTCCTCCTCCTCCTCCTCCTCCTCCTCCTCCTCGGCTTCACGCGCGTGCGAGCGGCCATGGGCGAGAGTGACCTTCGGTGCGCGGCGTTCGCGGGCCGCTCGGGGGGTGGCGGAATCTGGTCGAGCCAGCCTCTGCTGGGGGGGGGGGCTCCTCGGGCCCGCGCCAGGCCACTCCGGCGACGGGCCCCCCATACGCGTCGCCGACTCCCCCCCGCTTTACGACCTGGCCAGGCCGGACGAGCAATTTCACGACCTACTCAGGTCGAAAGGCGTCTCTGCCTGGGCCGGCCTGGCCCCGGTCCCAGCCCGGAGCCGGAGAAGCAAGCAGTTCCAAGAGATCCGATGACGTTTTTTTCAACACAGAACCCTCGATCCATTCCCCAGGACCGGTTCTTCATCCTGAGTTGTTTTTCGACGGTCCTGTGGCCCAGCGAGGGCCCCTAGAGGCCAAACATTGAGAAAACCTCCGCTCTGGGCTGGGTTTTCCGACCTGCCTAAATCGAAGACAGCCCAGGATGTCGATGTCAATCCCTGGCCCCCCGTTGCCTGGTGTGTCGCGGCGGCGGCGAGACCGCGCGGCGCGGTGGCAGCGGAGGCGGGGTCGCTGCAGGGCGAGTGTGACACTGGAGAGCGGGACGCAAGCGGAGGAGGGCGGCCGAGAAGGAGGAAGGAGAAGGAGGAGGTGTAGGAGAACGAGGAGGAGGAGGACAAGAAGGAGGAGGAGGAGGAGGAGGAGGAGGAGGAGGAGGAGGTGAGGGGGAACGCCATCGGCGAGCACGGCTGGACTCTTGAAGCGGCTGCCGCTGGCAGTCCCGCCTTCGCTGCCGGCGCCCGCCGCCGCGGCGCACGCCCGCCGCGCGCCCATCGAGCAGAGCCTCTGCGAGCCTGCGGGTGTCGGCATGCCCAGGCGCAACGCACGGCCACGCGACGCGCGGTCATCTCCGCGCCCTCTCTGGAGAGGGGCAATCGCTCTGGCCCAGGCCGCGAAGCGCGATTGCCTTCGCAACGCCGCGGGCCGCTAAGCTCGGCGGCGAGCCTGGGGGCGGAAGTGGCAAGGGGCGGGCCTTCTCGGAAGGCTTGGAAAACCCCTGGCCTTCTGAGAAGCTTTCGAAGCCTTCCCCGGAAACACAGACAGCTTCTCCGAAGGCCAGAGCGACTCTGAGAAGGCCCTCTCCTTCTCACTTGCCCTCCTCGCTCGCAGCCGATGAGTCTTGCTGCGTTCGCCGATGGCGTGCGTGCATGTGTGTGTGTGTGCGTGTGTGTGTGTGTGTGTGCGTGTGTGCGTGTGTGCGTGTGTGCGTGTGTGCGTGTGTGCGTGTGTGCGTGTGTGCGTGATTGTGTTGTGTGACTGTGTGCGCGTGTGTGTGTGTGTGCGTGTGTGCGTGCGTGTGCGTGTGTGTGCGTGTGTGTGTGTGTATCTGCGTGTCTGTGTGTCGATCTCTGTGTGGGTGTGTCTGTGTGTCTGTGTGTCTGTTTGTCTGTGTCTCTGTGTGTCTGCGTGTGTGGGTGCCGTGCACCCCCGGCAGAGCCCGGTGCCCCGTGGAGAGTGGAGCGCGGGAGCCGCCCTTCGCCTGAGGTCGGGCATGTCCCCCCCGCAGGCGGACTCTGGCCTGCCCGAAGAGGAGGCAAAGAGTGGCCGAACCCCCCCCCGGCCATGTTCTTTCCACTGCTCTTGGATACCCCCCCTGTAGAGGGACATGCCCCGCGCCCCGCGGGGCGTCCCGCGGGGGGGGGGGGGGGGGCGAGGCGGGGGCGCCCTCCGGAGGCCCACGAGCGGGCCGAGGAGGCCTCGGGGCCCGACGCCTCCGCGGGCGGCGGTCGCCGCGGCTCGCCGGCCCCCGCCCTGCCCGCCGCGGGGCGGGGCGGGGCCGCGCACGGGGCGGGCGCCCCGAAGGCAGGGCGCCGGCGAGTCGGGGCTCGGGGCGGGCTCGCGGAGCCGCTCACGTCTCTGAGCACACATCTCTGGCCCCCCGCTGCTCCTGCTGCTCCTGCTGCTG